TGGGGCCGTCTGCGCAGAGGCGCTGGTCGGGCCAGCTACTGGGGCCGTCTGCGCAGAGGCGCTGGTCGGGCCAGCTACTGGGGCCGTCTGCGCAGGCAACAGTCCAACTAACAATTTCCTTCAGCAAAATAAGTGCTGAGTCAGCAGATTTTCCATTTCACCTACGCACCAACCCAGCCGGGACACGGCGGAACCCTGAATTATCGCTGCTATGACTCGCTGACAGCTTCAGAAAAACGGGTTAAAAAGGGCGACTTTCACCTTTCCCCACTGAAAAGACACAGGCGATTACTTCCTGTGATTCCGCCACCCGCAATTAGTTAAATGGATTAACTAAACGGCAGAACTGCGGACTCCAGTTGCATCAGATTCATCGGGGCCCATAATTCACCCTCTGCTACCGGGTTTTCCAACTGGCCGGCAGTAGCTTAAGCTGCTCTCTGTTGGTGGCGCTGAGCTCCATCTTAGCCTAGGCTGGCTGTCAGCGATCTCCATTGGCAAGCGCTCTTCGTTTCGACGCCAACGCCCCCGCCCACCGCCCCCCAAGCCTGTGCTGCAGGTGCGAGTTCACGGAAGGGCGTTAAAAGCATGGAGAACCACACTGTCATTCACTGGCTTAGTGACGTCAGGTGCCCAGCCTGTGCTGCAGGCTTAGCTTACAGAAGACCGTTACAACCTGAAGAACTACAGTCACTAACTGCTTTTGGAGCCCAGGTCATTTCTAAAAGCAAATAACGGGGAGTAAAAATCTCCTATAATCACCCTTATTTAAAGTCAGGGCCTCCTGTGTAAGTCCTTATTAATGGCCACAAATGAATAGCCCAATCGTAATACTTTATATTACAGGGTGGGCCAAAAGTAGGTATTCAGTTATGTTACGGTACTGACTGGGTCTTGTTTAAGTCTCTTAGGTGTTGTAAATGTCCTCCGTCACCGATGATGCATTCCTGGCGCCCGTCCCCGACACCGTGACACACTTTAGCACACAATTCCCAGTTAGCATCAATGTCCACAAATACTTGCGAAATTTATACACTGTGCAGGGCTTCCTCTCAAAAGCCTTAACTACGCCCCGCCCCCCCCAGGTCCGGTGAACGTGGTGGCCAGTCGATGCTGCCACATCGCCCAATCCAAGATGTTGTCAGGGTAGCTAAAGTGTGCCACAGGGTCAGGTACAGGCTGCAGAAATGTATCAACGTCACCTACGGGACTAAAGATGACGCAATCATTCCATCCATCCCTTTTCCGTAACCGCTTATCCTATTCCGGGTTGTGGGGGATCGGGAGCCAATCCAAGAGGCTATGGGGGCAAAGGCAGGGAAGCAGCCAGGGCAAGGCACCAACCCATCTCAGGATAAGCCGGTCCGAACTGCAAAATGAAAACTGCAGACCTACTTCCGGTCCACCCTGTACCCATTTACAGAACTGCAATATCTGCAGTTCATCAGCCACACTGCATGTTTGCTCTGTGAATGAATGACAAGCACGAGATGTTGCACAAGACGCTGGTGAAACGGCAATGCTGCACTGAGGTCAAAACTCAGACGCGGGTCACTGACTGGGTTGTGCCATCTGGGGCGGGGCCCCGCCAGGAGGTGCCATCCTCGGTCCTTACCGGGACAGCGGGGGACGGGAGGCGGAGAAGGTGCCACTCACCACGATCATCTCCGATGGCTGGAGCGTGATGCATTCACAGCCTCTGCGGCCCCCCAGCTGTCTGCCGAAGCTGCGGAGAGAAAACGGGAGTCGTGCGTTAAAATGCGGCCGCGTCACCCCTGGGACGGGCGGCCGGACGCGATGACGCAGCCAACGGAAGGAGGCTCGGTGCGTCTGATATCAGGAAACACCTGAGACAGGATTAGAGCCACATGTATTCCTGTAGAGCACAGTGATTGCACTTAAACAAACAGTACTCAGGCAGAAAATGAGTCCCAATCGCATTAGTGACGTCTGCGCAGGACTAAATAGACCTGCACCAGAACATGCTCTCCAGCAGCGCCTTGCCCCCACCCCATCTGAGGAGTCCGATTTCAGCCCGCTGAAGTGGACGACATGCCGAGTTTCTGCCCAGTAATGCCGCCAGCAACGCTAACACAGCCATCAACACAGCCAGCAACGCTAACACAGCCATCAACGCTAACACAGCCATCAACGCTAACACAGCCATCAACGCTAACACAGCCATCAACGCTAACACAGCCATCAACGCTAACACAGCCATCAACACAGCCAGCAACGCTAACACAGCCATCAACACAGCCAGCAACGCTAACACAGCCATCAACACAGCCCCAAGGTAGATGAGGTCGTCTTGCCTTGGTCATTTTGCTCCATGCATTCGCAAGAAAAAGAAATAAAAAATAAAAAAAACACCGTAACCCATTATCACTGCCTTCTGGGGTCACAGGGAAGTCTCCGACGATTGGGCAGGTCTGCCCCTCCCCCTCCCCACCAGGGACACCCAGCGCTGCTGACAGGTTTGCTGTACTTCCTACACTTCACATCAAAATCAGTTTCCTGGAATAAGAAGCAAGGCACAAAAAAAAAAGATCTCCTTTATCAGCTTATCCCTTTATCCCTCAATGGCAGAAACGTGCGCCAGGCTGTTGAAGTTCAGCTTCGGCTATCTAGAGGCTTCAGACACGACTGAACCTTGCTCACATTTTTTCAGTTTCTGTTCGAGCTGAAGTCCAGCATGAGTATAAGCAGACCTCCTGATATCAGAGAGGCAGACCAACCCCACCACCAGAAGGGGGGGGGGGGGGTCAGAAGTCATCGTTTGATTTTAACTATTCTTCATGTGTCACATTTTGATGGACAGAGATTTTATATAAAAAAAAAAATTTAAATCTCAGAAACGTGGCGTGGCGGCATGCAGACGTCCCTAAGACATCCGGGTGCCGCCAAAACCAGCCCTCATGTCACACAGCAGTGCATGACAGTTATGAGGAAACTGGGAAAAATGCACCATCCACGCAAGAGTTTTAGTGGAGGAAGGGTCAGGTTGCATGATGCCCTGCAGGCCATGAGCCGTGCGGCACTGCAGCTCTCAGTCTCCACAGAAGTGCACTATTAACACCTATGAAATCAGTATAATATCAACCTCCTCCCTCCCCCCCCCCCACCTCGTGCAATAGAAGATAGAACCCCAGGCTCTGACAATGAACTCCGAGGCATCGACAGCTCCGTTTTCATACTCCAGTTCCGACAGGGATCACGGCATCACCAAAAGCACCAGGATTTACTTCCCTGCTTGCCTCTCCACTTCAAAAGCACCGCCTCCCCATGACAGGCAACCGACATGGAAAGGCCCTGCCTCTTTACATCAACCACACAAGGAAGGTTAGCGACAACGATGGTACGGCCACGCCATCAACAGCTAACGGGCTCGGACAGACACACGTGTTAACGTCACATTAATTACTGAAGTCAAAAACTCAGGATACGCTACCGGTTCAAAAAGGTTTAAACTGTGACAAGTTAGGGACTCTTTGTAAGGTCCTATTTTGTGACACCTTACGTGACTGCTTGTCTGACGAAAACTGGGCAGACTGTGAAAGTCTGACTATGATAAATCCAAAATATAAATAAATATAAATCTAAGTAGGCTGTACCTAGAGGGGGAAAACACAAAGATAAGCAAAAGTTTAGGTCAAATATCAAATTTTTGGGGGGGCTATACTCCTGTTGTTCCTCGATTTCTAAATTTGCCCCATTAGGTCAAATTTACCAGACATTTTACCAAAAACCATGACAACTATATTTAAAAAAAAATACACACACACACACACACACACACTATAAAAACTGCACACACCACAAAAACAATACGTTTGTCATAGACTTCTTGGTCGAGGACGGGGGAAGGGGTTCTGTTTTCAAACACAATCCCCATGGTAACAGAACAGACTGCTGACAGCGTTGACAGAAACCACAGATGTGGTGTGCCCGCTCTCTTGCTCTCCTCCACGGTCCTGGGGAAGGCAGGCCAACTCGGCGGGCGCAGGAATGCTCATCGGACTCTCATGCTGCATCGCAAGAGCAGACCGTTTCTTACAGTTTCACTTCATGTCATGCGCCCACTGTTCCTTTATCTACTGTCTTAACGTTTAACCCTTTTGCAGCTCACGGGTTTAAAATCTGCAGCAACACATGGGGCACGTTTAAGTACAGTTCGTCAACTGTAAGACGCAGCAACAGAACTAGAAAACTACCCTTTCCTCTTCTGTGCAAGGAGACAGAGAATAGGGCAACAAAACTCCTACACTAATAATATATGCACATTGTAACTCAAGGTTTAAATTACATTTTAATAAACACATTTAAAAGATGTGTTGGGAACCAATGGCCTGGCATGACTGTGGCACCCATGCCTGACTCATACTGGTCCTTGTTTTGCAGTCATTTGGCCCTTTCTAGTCAACAATGCAGTCAATGCCTCAAAGCAAAATCTAGCCCGCAATATTAAAAAGTGCCAGACTAGTTCTATAGGTCCAGAGTTGAGAAGTTTCAGCAGTTCTGCGTTTCTCTTAATCCTGCACATGAGAAAAAAAAAAGAGCACAACAAAAACAGAAGCACACCTCAGGAAGGCTGTGCAGCCACAGCGACGGCTGAAGATAGACTTGCAAAACCCAAGAGAGAAGCCTGTGCTCTGTAGCCCCAGCGACTCCGACTGCACTCTGACACCCACCGAAACGTGCCCTTTAATCACTTCACCCCAGGCTCCCAAGCAGAGGTAACCTCACTGGCACGTTTGTTGGACAAGACTAAGGAGAGCGTGGAAAAGTTAAGGAGGAGAGCCGGCGGTTGTTATGCTCATTGGCTTTGAGTCACCGGGTGCAGAAAGGAAAATAGCCCTGCATCAAAAAAAAACTAACAAAAAAAAAACAACCAACAGCAGAACAAAGGACTTACTATTACAGCCAGAGCAACGGCCCAGTGCGATGGTGCAGACCCGACGGAAGCTCTGAGCACAACAAACACTACATAACGGGCCAGATGATGTCATATGAAGGGAAAACTGACAGCAAGGATTAAAACAAGGCTATTTAAAACCTGTGAGGGTTATAAGACGGAGGTCCGATTTTACTTTCTGGTGTCAAGCTCCATGATAACTTGGGCACCCAAACAGGGAAACCATGATTGCTCCCTGGTATCTTCACACAGCATCCAGCAGCAACATCCCACTCTCCCGAAACTCTCCTTCCTGCTTTAAAAAAAAAAAAAAAAAAAAAAAGCAGCGGAAAATCCCAAAAACTGGCTCCCAGTCCAAACAGGACAATGTACTAGTCGTGGCAAGAGAACAATCAAACCCTAACAGGGGGTCTGCTTCCTTCGAGTGCTCTTTGATGAAAGTGTTATTTCAGGCTTATTCCCAGAGGCAGCATGCAATAGCCAGCCGGAGCAGGGTCAGAACTCCCAAACACATCCATGCGATTCAGCTCCTGTTTACTGGCGTGGGCCCAGGAGTGACGAAGACTCCGCTAGGTCCTCTCTTCAGCGGCGATGGCTATCCTCTGCTCCTCTCCCCAGCATGTGCCTCTTCATTTGGAGGCTGGGGGGGGTGGTGGCCGTCCGGGAAGCTGGCGTCCTCACTTCCTGCCTGGGGGAGCTGAGAGTTGGCGCCACACCCCAGGAACACATGGCCGACTCACCGTCCAGCCGGGGAGTTCCACATTCCAGCCGGGCCCAACTCACCCTGTGACCCCGCGACCCCACAACACACACACACCCAGTACCAGCAGGAGAGTGGAGCCCCCCCCCCAAACTGGCTCAACTCCAGTTGCTTACTTAACGATTTAAAAGTGAAGCGCACAGGGACAGCATGTGCTCAGAGGGCCCCCGTTGGAATCCAGCAGAGGAGGTTGGGGCATCGCCCGAGCCGGCGTCCTCAGCCGAAGGGGAACCAGATTCCTTCGCCGGGCGTGTACGACGGCAGAGGTTAGGAATAAGGCGGCGGCAAAAAAAAAAACCAAAAAAACGGGAAACTGGAGCGAGTACTCACTACCGTTTCCCTAGATGCTTTCGGGACATCTGCGTCCAATAAAGAAAGCGAGGCCTCGTCACGGAGCCTTGTGGTTATAGCAGTCACATGGGCCCCAGGAATTTTATACAGGCTTTAAACAAATCCCCCCCCCCCCATGTTGACACCCACCTACCTCCGAAAAATGGTCTGAGAGACAATTTCCTCTGCAGCTTCACTGGTGATTGATCGGCTTTCTCAAACAGCCCCCTAAGGGTCGCACTCAAAATCCCAGAGCTACAACTCATCCGTTCACCGCTGCCATCACCGGTTTGCTGCCCGGTGAGAGATCAGAGGCGGCATACAAGCACGTGATGGCACACATGCAGACAAGCACTACAGGACGTACATGTGAATTAAGAGGCACGTACCAGCATCTGGCCAGAAACATATGCTCCTTCACAAACACTGAGCCGGTCAGAAGGATGTACCAACATGTTGAGAAGTTCTCGGGGCTGGGAACAAAAGGATGGACGTCAAGTTACTCTCAGAAAAAACGCAGCTAGAACCCGGATGCACATTTGAGAGCATTTGTGGCTTCTGAATGTTTTTGTAAGGAAAATTTAAGCACCAGTGTAGAATCTGACAGAATGTAGGTACAACTCTTACACAGATTCATCAAAAATTGCAAAATACAAATTCAGGAGTCCAACAGTTTCATGCCTATCAAACTTGTTCGAATAGATTCAACTCTGACGCTGGAGTTCTTATAAACACTTGCGGAAAGCATTCCAAGAATGTCTTCAGCAATCAAGATACTTTGAACTGTGTTTGGAAGCTCCTATCTTGTTCAGCAAATCCTGGATGATAGTGGACCAGCATCATGTATATTGCTGAAGAGAATGGCGGTTAAGCGAAATCGAATGGTAAACAGCAGCTACCTTTTAGCGTAAAAGTTCTCAGACGCGCTAAATTTTGCAGAACACGATTACATTATCAGTAGAGGAGAGTAAATTGAGCACAGGGAAGCACACCTGGGACCCTTACACTGAAGCCTGTAACTTTAGTGGGCTCTCAAGCGTGCCGACACGTGACAGGATCTGGTGGCGTTTACTCACCAGAACAGGATGTGGTTGGCTTCGTGTCTCTCGTACCGGACAGAGTTGCACATCGACCTGAAACGAGGGATGCGATTTAGAAGCCCAGGCCCCGTATCCGTGTGGGGCCAGCGCAGAGGTACTTGAACTTGCTGGTGGATGCAGAAGATGTGACAGAGAGCCTTCAAAGGGACTGCCCACATGCAGTACACAGGAGTGTCTGCCTTTATTGGGCTCCGCCCACCGCCTTTTTTTTTTTTTTTTTTTAATTAGCCTGGAAACCCAGGAGATTCAGGCCATTCCAGGTTCAGCTTACTTACTGGGCCAATGCCAGAGCAGCCACCCAGCTCTTCAACCAGCTTTTCAGAGAACTCAAGGCCCATCAGGCTTTCCCTAGAGGCTTCCTGAAGGAACTCCTGCTTTTATCTCAAGAGTCCATGGCACGGAGGGCAACATGAAAGACTCCTAATCCTAGCGTGGTTGTAAACATCAGCCGCCACCACCTCACCCCCCCCCCCCCCCATTCTGGATACACATTTGTCTGGTGAACAAATTTCCAGAGGTGCTTTTAAAAGCAACCGTGAATCATGAAAACACGCTCTAGGGAAATCGCAGTCATGTTGTGGCAGGGATTTAGGTGGTTCACATAAAGCATCTTAAGTTATTCTTACCGTAGCTGGTGCTCCCTAAGATGCGATAAGACATCCATGTTGTAGAGATGGTGGTAAATGGTGCTCAAGTCCTAGACAAAGAGGGAAAAAAACAACAGAGGTGAGTTTTCCTGTACAGAAGCAGCACTCCTAATTTCATTACGGTGGATTTGGTGGGCGTAACTTGAATGCCAAATCAACAACAATGGCTATATCACGGCAAAAAGGTAAAACAAATAAATAAATTCAGAACAAGAAATTTAAAACAGGAAATAGATAAACAAAAACAGAATTTACATCCATTCATTTTCTGAAACCGCTTAATCCCAACCGGGTTTGCAGGGGGGAACGGAGTCTATCCCGGGAACAAGGGGCGCAGGCAGTAACCAACCCCAGGCAGTCACCAACACACCACAGGGCACACACAACTACAGGGCCAATTCAGACTCACCAATCAACCTGCCCAAAAGCGTGCAGAATTTACATAAGATTCTTCAAATTAATGTTCGATAAAAAAAAATTTTAAATCCAAAACTTTATGGGGTGGCACCTTATTAAAAACATCTACCAGACGGCTTTGTCGGTAAAATCAGTGCCTTGTATTGCGCAGTGCAGAGCAACAAAGTAAAATATGTTTCACTGAGACGGCCAGATTACAAAACTGACACGTCGGGGGCTCTTCAGTTTCATTGTGTATTTAATATACAATGACAATGAAACTTCTATTCTGTACTCCTTGTGATTCTGGAAAGTTTCCTCAGAGAGAGACTGAAGCACTCGACCCATGGATCAGGCCACAACACTAAGCAGACCTCTGACTTGTGGAAACCATGGGGTCTTTAGTTCAAATTGGCCAAGTAATTCCACATGGGCCTGAAAATCGACACCCACGCTAGCCTACGTGTGAAAACTCTTTTGTATTGTATTGACCTACACTTAATTATCATACAAAACATAGATAATGGACTTATTATGCTGGTGCCACATCATGAAATCCACATTTCCTATTTTGTTTATATGATGCATATGGAAATGTACTATCAAGGGATAAATTCCACATTCTAGACCAATTGAAAACTAGGGAAGAATTCCACAATTACAAACATGGTTTACCTAAATGCTGTAGTGTTAATGTTTGCAGTGTGACTAAGAAGGGTTGGCAGGTACGTTAACAGGAGGAGCACACAATCACCTCATTTCAGCAAACCAGATGACTAGCCTGAGGGATTTTATTTAAGCTACTCCTTTATTTGCAGGTATAAGCATGTTGATTTCTGAAAAACGTTTCATATCATTTGTGTAGTCGGAATTTAAGTTATTCTGGGAATGCAAACCAACAGATAACCCGTTAGTTTCTGCTAAACTGGTACTATACAATGACAGGCCATTAAATGTGATCATAAGTCAAAAAACAAACAAACCAACAAACTCACTCGCTAGCAAATAAACTAGCAAACTAACAAGGCAGCAAACAAATTAGCAAACAAACAACCTAACAAAACCTAATAACACTTTGAGCAGAGCATTTTGAGAGCACAGCTGCACTCCTTCTATAAACCACTGCAGAGGATTATCCATTACAACACTTTGCGATACACACTCACCACGGGGCTTGTGCTGTGGTGTACAGAGAGCACATGTGTGTTGGACCTACACTCCAGTTCCCAGCATGCACCAACAAGGCACAAACCTCCAATAGCGGATGACGGAAAATGATGCAAGAAGAGACTGGTTGCTCCAATTTGTCATCCACCCATTTCAAAATATTACTCATTTTTTCTCTTAATTGACAAAAAACATCGCTGTTACTGGGTTTTGTCATATTGTACATATTTTGGACCCTGGGACATATGTTGGTTTAGTTATAAATTAAGTTTTCCCATCTCCACTACCTTCGAAATGCACAAAAATGAATACCCAGACTGCAGCACTCCAAAATGTCATTATGTTTTCAGGATATGAAAAGCGACCAGGTACATCCAGAGATGGCGAGATTGCCTACATTTTTTTTCCTCTTCTCATATGTTACAGTCACAAAATATCCTGTCATCAAGCCAACGCTGCCTAGATATAGCAGTTCTGAGATTTGGAAGGCATATTTACTTTAAAAAGAAGGATCAATATATGGGTGCTGGCTCAAATCATTAGAGGAAAAGACCCTGGAACACAAACAAAACCTGCGCGCCCTGAATGAGTAATACTTCTGAATAGCGCATTATTACACTATGATCAATATACACAGATATCCCCCATCTAAACAAAAGTATAGCATTCCTACAAAAGCAAGAACCATTCCGTATTTTTTTTTAAATGTTCCCAGACCAATAAAGTAACCTATCAAATCATACCAAATACCACACAAAACCTACAATAACACCAATATATGGTAAATACAGGAATGAAATGATAAATACACAGCCTATATAAAGTAGAAATAATGTATGCACAGTGTAGTTTCACTTACCAAAATCAATACAGTCGTGCATCGCTTAAAGGCAGAGATACATTCTGAGGAATGTTTTGTTAGGCCATTTTGCCATTGTAAAAACGCCCTAGAGTGTATCTGCACAAACGTAGATGACAAAGCCTACTACACACCTAGGCAATAAAGGTATAGTAGGGTTGCTGATAAACAAATGCTAAAAGTTATTTTCGCTTTTCTCCTTTTTCCATAAAATTCGGATTCATTTCGGTTTGCGAAAGCAGATACTAATGAAGGTTCTTTCATAAAAGCAAAGTGGCATGAAGTGAACATTCGGAAAAGCAGGGAATACCTGTATTTAAAAGAAATGGGACCAGATCATTGTGCAGACCAAGCATTTGGGCAACAATTAACTAATGTGATATCTGTGTTCTTTTTAAGTCAATCTGTAAATAGTTAACTTTCAACTGACTAGCTACTTAGTGATTGTGGGAATCTGTTTAGCTGTAAACCAGATAGTTCTGTACAAGCAGGGATTACATGAAAATTTAATGTCCAAAATTATGAGCAGTTTTCCCGATTCAATTTGAAGTACGCATGCAGTGCACTACTACAAACCTACCACTAAGACATGCAACACACAGAGCAACAATAGCAATACATATATGTAAGGTGATAGGCAAACACGTGATCAGCCTGAAGCAAACAGCTGAGACTGAAGCAGAGACAGCAAGCCCTCATTAACAGAAATCTGAACTCATTGACTGGCATTCTAATTTCCCAGTGACTGCTGTTACCGTAAAAACTAAACTCCTGTGAAAAGGTGTGCCAGTTTTCCTACATACTTTCTATGAAATTAAAGTGGAGAGCACTGTGCATTTTAAAGCAGAGAAATTAATTAGTCTGATCGTTGACTGGGTAGCTCTGGACCATCCTCCACTTGCTTCAGAAATTGGACTGTACTGCATTAATGCCAAAGCACGACATTTTTACCTCACTCCCCTCTGTCCTTTTTTCGGAGGGTCTCAAAATCTGTCCCACACTTAGCCAGAGGCTACCAACGGCTGCCTTGTACAGCACACGTTGTAAATGGGTTCTTCCCCCCCCCCCCACCTCCATCCCTCATACTTCCATCTTCCCACTCCACCCACGAGATGGATTAGCAAAAAGTTACCGTAGATCCAGTTAGACAGAAAGGCAACTCTCCTCAAAACCACAGAAACACGGAGATCACAGAGCTGTCACACCTCTCCGTGTACCTTCCGTAACCCTAATCAGGTGCTAAGTTTGAGTCATTGACCTGATCTAAGCAGATTCTACATGCCTTTCATTTCATGACTGACTGGAAAGTGGCTCCCGCTCAATTAATGCCTTTTCAATCCCATGTATGCCAATCAACTAAAGACAGTAAAAAAAAAAAACATTAATTTTCAATTGATGCAGCAAGAAGAATGCATGAGAAGAACCTTTTTTTTTTTTTTATCTTATCTGAGGAATGGTATGTATAATGGAAGTATATACAGCTGGTTTTAAAATTTGTTTCCAAGTAATTTATTTAAAGGACTCTATTGACTTTTGGTCAGAGCCAATGTGATTAGGCAAGCTTTGCTCCTGCTGAAAAGATCACTGCTTTCCTTGGGGGGGTTGTTAGGCAGCAGAGCCATGGGTGGGAGAAGGCCAGCTCCACGCAACTCTGATGCACTCTCTTGCTCATAAACAAACAAACACACACACACACACACACACACGCACGCACACACACACACACCCTTAACTCGGTTAACAAAGGACGTCTTTTCAAAAACATATATCATAATAAAAACAAAAAAACAAAAGCAAGCAACCAGAACAGAGAGAGCAAAATAGCCCCATCTGTGACATGACACACGTAAACACACACACACACACACACACACACACACACACACACACACACACACACAATTATTTGTGCAGGAACAAATACCACACGCAGCTGGCTGACAACCTAAGTGTCAACGCTTTGAATTCATCTGCATTTGTGCTATAAAAAGCCATCAGTCAAACTGCAGGGCCAAATAATGTGCAGGCAATGTCATGTTAAAAAGAAGACATTTGCAAAAAAAAATTTTTTTTAAAAAAACAGAGTGCTTGAAAAAAATTACATTTCACCAGTGTTATGAACTGAGCCAAACTAGTGGAACCACTGTGCACTGCAAAGTAATGTAGCTGCCAGGGCAGTGATGATGTCATAACAAAATCACAATGCACATGCACAGTATTACTGCCACCTCCTGACACAGACGCCACATTGCTCTCATTCTGCAGTTAATTCTTGCCCGCTAAGCTTTTCTCCCCCAAACATACCACCACGTCAATCAAACAGTTACATGGCACCAGTGCACACTGTGCACAGTACACAGCCACCAAAAAACCTACAAATTTAGTTCTGAGCAGTTTACAAGTTTATTTGACTTTCTTCCCTAACCTGTGAATGTTCTATGAATGCATTATGAAGGTGCAGTTAAAGTAAAGCATTACCCAATTTACAGATCACACAAGAACAATAAATAATATAAATAAAAAAAAAAAAAACAATCAATACTGTAAACCAGCACCAATAAATATCAGTTACCTCAAAGTAATGAAATAATTGAAGTCATCCTTTTCACTTCTAGTTTCATGTGACTG